GGATAGAGAAACTGAAGAAGTTGTCTACTTCAAAGATTAAGGAAATGTGTGCAATGTGGCTTAAAGTGCGAACCTTTTTTGATGAAAATCACCCTCACATAGCTATTGCAAGCCGTGCTGGTGACTATTACACTGACAATGTTGTGAAACACTTTAGGAATGTCATAAAGGAACGGGAGGTACAGGCCTCTTTGGACAGATATGTTGTGCGACAGAGGTCCAGTGACTCTCAAGCTGGTCCTAGTGGCATTAAAAGAAGGGAAGTAACCCCGGAAAAGGACTTGCCACCTCAAGTCCTAATGGAAGGGGATTCCCCTTCTGAACATTAACACCATCCACAGTCTCCCCTCCTCCCATCCCATCAATCATCACCAGATCTTCAATAAAGGTAAGTGTCATGTAACTGTGCATGTCTTCTTCAGTTTGTGTATTAAAATTAATATTTCATGTGGTAAAAATTTTTTTTGTTCATACTTTGGGGTGTCAGGAATGGATTAATTTGATTTCCATTATTTCTTATGGGGAAAATTAATTCGGCTAACGATAATTTCGCCTAACGTTGAGCTCTCAGGAACAGATTAATAGCGTTAGGCGAGGGTCCACTGTACTACTCACCTCTCACCCTACATTAAGACTACAAATATTTTAAGCTAAGTAATGGGTGTACTGTGTGTGGATTTTACCTTTTATTATTTTTAATGCCTAGTTCTATTGCTAAATTAACATATGTTGTGTAAACTTGTTATCTGGCATTTATGTGCATTTATAAGTGGAAAAAATGGAGTTCCACTTTCTGGCAATGTCCACTTTCTGGTGGTAGTCTGGCTGTATAGCCCTTGTGGCTTAGCGCTTCTTTTTGATTATAATAATAATAATAATGGTGGTAGTCTGGAACCTAACCTGCTATATAAGTGGGGCCCTACTGTATGTATATTTATATTCATATTCTTTCTTTCAACACACTGGCTGTATCCCACTGAGACACCGTCGAAACCCCTAATCCTGAAGTGTCTCCCAGTGTCGAAAAAATATTTGAAAAAAAAAAAAAAAAAAATCTTATGAAAATGTTAAGATTATTTTTCTGATTGTTTTAGTCCAAAAAAATTTTTTGCCATCAGTACTTACCGAGATATGGAGGCGTGAAGTTGGCAGAAAATGAGCCACGTATGGCAACAGGAGTGACTGACTCTCACCCGGTAAAGTTCGGTTTACTTTTATTCGAAGATTTCTTGTATTTTTTCATTATTTTATATTTTCACATAACTTATGTGGCCTGTGAGACCAAAGTAAGGTGCAGTGTTCATATATACATTCATTGAATATAACACAATTATAGCAAAAACACTAGTATCATCATATTGTTTACAAAACTTGTTTACACAAACAAATAATATAAAAAATTGTTTATTACGATTGTTCTATAACATATATACACCTACCATCCGACTTACGACCGAGTTCGGTTCCGAGAAACCGGTCATAAGTCGAAATGGTCATAAATCGAACTTTACTACTGAATATCAACAAAACATTTTTGTAATGACTTTATTTTATTGTTTTATTTTGGTATTTCATGTTTTACTTTACTTTTTATGTTGTTAGTACAGTGGACCCACGCTTTACGATCACCTCTCAATGCGACCAATTATGTAAGTGCGTTTGTACGTGTATGTTTGGGGGTCTGAAATGGACTTATCTAATTCACAATATTCTTTATGGGAACAAATTCGTTCAGTACTGGCACCTGAACGTACTTCTGGAATGAAATAATATCGTAAACCGGGGGTCCACTGTACTGTATTTTATACTGTAAGGTTTAGGATAAACACTGTGTACAACACAAATAGTTGTTCATTTCCCAGAAATTTGGCATAAAAAACACGGTCGTAAGTCGAGTGGTTGTAAGTCGAGTGGTCGTAAGTCGAGCAGGTCGTAAGTCGGATGGTAGGTGTACATATGTACAGTCACTGTACACTTTTCTAGAACTGCTGCAGCTTATGGAATTCTTTGAAAGATGGGTGTATGGACAATGGTGTTTTTACACTCCTCACACATAAAACGAGTGTCTCTGCATTTTTGTGGGCGTTTTGTGGTATGTGCACAGACATAACACCTCTTCTGAGCATTTTTCTTGAAAGCAGTAGCAGGCAGTGGTATGGGTAGTGATCACTAGGCCTCAGACCAGAAGGCATGTGTTGATAATTTTGTGGGTGCTGGTCTGTTGCAAGTGTTGTTCCTTGATACTCAAATATTATTTGTCTGATAACTGACAAACAAAATTCACCATATTTGGGTTTGTTGTTGGTCTTCATCTTATACATATTATAAGCATTCAGCATGGAAATGTCAAGAAGATGGAAAAATAGTTTTATGTACCACTTATAACTCTTGCAAACACAATCAGCAAACCAAATCTGCATGTCACATTTGTCCACTAAGCGCATATTGAGGTTGTAATCCATCACAGCTGCAGGTTTTACAATGGGTTCATTGGTCTCTCTATTCTGCTTGCCACTGTCTATCATTTCATGTTGGTGAACTGATGTCAGCAGTGTGACATTACGTTTGTCATGCCACCGAAATGCCATGATGTCATTGGCAGCAAACACCTGAACATCACCTCTATGAGTGCCAGCGTTGAACCTGGGCATATGTTTATGATTTCCACGCACTGTGCCACACACATCTGTCATGTTCACTCGCAAGAAATCACTGAGTAAAGGGCTTGTGTACCAGTTATCAGTATATAAAATATGCCCCTAACAAGATATGGTTCCATCATTGTTCTAACCATGTAACCAGAGATACCCAGTAACTTCCTGGTATCTTGCAATGTTTTACTGCCAGTGTACACAATTATATCCAAAACCAGACCACTTTTGCAATCACACAGCACAAATAACTTTATACCAAAACCTTTCCTCTTACTTGGTATATACTGCTTGAATGAGAGTCTGCCTTTGAACAAAATGAAAGACTTATCAATAACAAGCTCCCTGAAGGGATAAAATACATACAGCACTTTTGTTTCGGGTAAAAACATTTCTGATCTTATATAACCTGTCGCGTCTGTCAGGCCTTGTTTTGTCTGAAAAGCGTAGCATACGTAACAGTAGCACAGATCTATTCACTGGTATAATGTCGCCAAAAGCTGGGGTTGAAATCAGGTGGTCTGTCGACCAGTATGTGTTGACACTGTGCTTATACACATGTGGCATAAGCATTATTGTGGCAAAGAATAGATACATCTCTGTCACAGTTGTGTCCTTCCACTGGTGTACGCGTGATCTTGGTGAAAGAATTGTGTTTGCCATGGTGTACTCAAAGAATGTATTGCTTTCCTTGACAATAATGTCCATCAGGGGTTCATCGAAGAATAACTGAAAGCATTCCAGTTCAGTAGCATTGCTCCCAAGTGTACATGATGGCCGTATTCCACTTTGTGTTTCATGAAAGTCGTGTGGATTGGGAACAAAATTGCCATCTTGCTGCCAATCCCAGATGCAGTCTACTGGTGGGTTCTGGATATTGAGAGGTGGTTGTGGTTGTGCAGGTTGTGGTTGTGGATGTTGTTGGAGTGTGGGGTTGGTTGAGGCTGGTTGTGGTTGTGCTGAGTTAGCAGCGTCGGTAGTAGCGTGGCCAGCTGGTGGTGCCACATGACTCATGCCACCACCACTATCACCACCACCATCTGCTGGTCGCCGTTGCCCAGCGGTGAGAGTAGCCACTCTCATTGCTGAGGTCCAGGTAATAAACCTTGGAAATTAACATGAACATCTGCTGCCTCACTCACATCATTCATACCCATTGTAACAATATTGTCATCGTCACTATCAGTTCGTGGTGTAGGGCCACGGGATGTACTCTGAGATTTACTCCTTCCCCTTGGAACAACATATGACACTACCAGAATGCATGCTATGTTGTATATACTGCTGCTTCACTGGAGAATATTCACTCTCACTGTCACAACTAGAATTGCTTTCAATAGCTTTGAAATCACTATTACTATCACTTTCACTGCTCACATCTGAGTCTTGTACATGGGCAAATAGTTTTCTCTTTTGTCCTGGTACAGATGAACTTGAATTAGACAGCCCAGCACCAGATGTGGATGATTGTGGGTCATCTGGATTTTCATCACTAATTATGTTATCCTGGGTGCTGCTTTCGGTCACACCCACTCCAAAACCATGAAATTCACTTTCACTGGCACTTCCATCACTGTTAGAGCTATCACTTGGGAACAAAAGACCTCCAATTCGCCGAGGAGTGAGGTACTTCTTACCGTGAAGCATGGTGAAAATGGACTACCAAGATGGCATTCCCACAATGCACCACTGAGTCCTCGATTTTTTTCAGAGGGTGCACACCCACCACTCAGACCCATTCTCTCTCATGTAGGCCTACCAGCTTTCTCCCGCTTGATTTGAAGCCACTAGAATTTATGCGTATAAATACGTCAAACACGGTGGCTTGTAAAACGTATATATACGACTGAGACAGTCAAAGGGTTAAACTTAAGTAATGTATACAGGAGAAGGGGTTACTAGCCCCTTGCTCCCAGCATGTGAGTCGCCTCTCACAACATGCATGGCTTACGGAGGAAGAATTCTGTTCCACTTCCCCATGGAGATAAGAGAAAATAAACAAGAACAAGAACCAGTAAGAAAATAGAAGAAAACTCAGAGGTAGGTAGGTATGTGTGTATGCACAGTAGTGTGACCTAAGTGTAAGTAGAAGTAGCAAGACATACCTGAAATCTTGCATGTGTATGAGAAAGAAAAAAATACACCAGCAATCCTACCATCATGTAAAACAATTACAAGCTTCTGTTTTACACTCATTTAACAGGACAGTAGTACTTCCTTGGGCAGTTGCTGTCTACCAGCCTACTACCTACAATATATATATGCCAAGTCTATCTTATTTACTTATTAATTTGTAAAGGTAAATAAAAATTAATTATGTTCTTACTATGAACTGTCTTCTTTTTGCAGTACCAACAACCCCAAAGGACTTCAGTTATGAACCCACTGATGCTTCTACTATACGCTTGAAATGGGCAATGCCTCAAGATACAAGTGGGAGTATCCAGAAATATGAGATTCTCTTTTCCCTTGATAAGAACAAACCTTTGTCAGCTTGGGAGGTGCAGAAGGTTGAAAAGGAAGCAACCTCAGATACTGTAAGTCTATAATATATATTTCTTTTTTATTATCACACTGGCCGATTCCCACCAAGGCCTTTTTGTTATTTATCCTCTTATTAGTAGGTATTCGTATAATGAGATCATTTTGGTCTGGCTTTCTTATGTAAACAGATTAATCAGCAAAGCAACATCCATGAATTCATTTGACAATAGAAACACAGTACTGCAAAAGGAAATGCTCCTAATCCAGAATAATTGGGACTGTCACACTCATGCAGGTCCTTTTTTGCAGTAGACAGTTTTTCATTATAAATGTCAAAAGCTGTTGTAAAATAATAATAAATAACCTTAGTAAAAACCCATCCAGAGAAATTAACTATTGTGTCCACTGTCATGGATGTCAATGACATCAAGTTACTTTGTTTTACTGCTAACATTTTATTTTTTAGGCAGTCTATTCCTTTTAACCCTTTCAGGGTTTCTGACGTACTAGTACGGCTTCCGCACCAGGGTTTTTGACGTACTAGTATGCCTAAATTCTAGCGCCCTCAAATCTAGTGAGAGAAAGCTGGTAGGCCTACATATGAAAGAATGGGTCTGTGGTTAGTGTGCGCAGTATAAAAAAAATCCTGCAGCACACAGTGCGTAATGAGAAAAAAAAACTTTGACAGTGTTTTTGGTTTAAAACAGCGACTTTGCACTGTATTTTCGTATCGTATTTATAATGGCATTCTAGTTTTCTTGGTCTCATTTTATAGAATGGAAGACATATTACAGAAATTGAGATGATTTTGATTGGTTTTACAATGAAAAGTACCTTGAAATTGAGCTCAAAGTAGCAGAAATCTTTGATTTTTGCCGAAGTTCAAAAGTAAACAAATCATGCTACGCATCCAATACACGTCAACTGGTGAGTCTAATATTCTTTCACAAGTGCGCTGATATTATTTATACCATTTCTACACTAATGCAGTAGTCTGCATAACTGTAAATCTTCTATTTTTAGTGAGAATAAAAATTCAAAGTGGAAAGCAAAAGAATGTAATAGGGGCATGGGGACGTGACTAATGGACAGAGGAAATGTTATTTTAGTGCCAGGAATGTCTTTCTTGTTTATTCTGGATCCTATTTGGAAATTGGCATCTTTTGAAATTTGTGTGAAATTGGCAAAATTACTCAATTCTGACCACTTTATTGGATAGTTGAAATCGGTAAATGGGTGGTTTCTTGTACTCATTCGATAGAAAAAATGGAGTTCTAGTGAAATAGTTATGATTTTTGTCGACTAGTACAATGGAATTGGCCGAAAATAGGGCTCAAAGTGGGCAAAATCACCGATGCGTAAACATCTTCGAGACCGCTAATTTCGTGAGAGCATAATTCCGTAAGTTTTCCATCAAATTTCATACTTTTGGTGTCATTATGATCGGGAAAAGATTCTCTATCTTTTAATAAGAAAAAATAATAATTTTTGTTTTTTTTTGAAAATTTGGCGACCCTGAGAACAAGTCTGGGAGAGGGCCTGTCAACCCTGAAAGGGTTAAGTATACATGTATTTACCATGAGACTACTGTATATAGACTGTATATATATATATATATATATATATATATATATATATATATATATATATATATATATATATATATATATATATATATATATATATATATATATATATATATACAGTGGAACCTCACCTAACAAATGCATCGCATAACTTTAAATCCGCCTAGTGATACATTTTAACGCAAAAATTTTGCCTCGGCTAGCGCTAAAAAACTCGCTCAACGCGGTTCGTTCGAGACGCATCCACGTGCGGCCTGAGCCCGCCTCACTTGTTCCTTGGGTGCCAGTGTTTACAAGCCAGCCACCACGGTCGCTTCCAAGCATACAATCGGAACATTTCATATTATCACAGCCTTTTTAGTGATTGCACCTGCAAAATAAGTCACCATGGGCCCCAAGAAAGCTTCTAGTGCCAACCCTACAGCAAAAAGAGTGAGAATTGCTATGGATATGAAGAAAGAGATCATCGCTAAGTATGAAAGTGGAGTGCGTGTCTCCGAGCTGGCCAGGTTGTAGACAAAACCCCAATCAACTATCACTACTATTGTGGCCAAGAAAACGGCAATCAAGGAAGCTGTTCTTGCCAAAGGTGCAACTTTGTTTTCGAAACAGAGATCGCAAGTGATAGAAGATGTTGAGAGACTGTTATTGGTGTGGATAAACGAAAAACAGATAGCAGGAGATAGCATCTCTCAAGCGATCATATGTGAAAAGGCTAGGAAGTTGCATGAGGATTTAATTAGAAAAATGCCTGCAACTAGTGGTGATGTGAGTGAATTTAAGGCCAGCAAAGGTTGGTTTGAGAGATTTAAGAATCGTATTGGCATACATTGTGTGATTAGGGGAGGGTCCACTGTATGTTGAAACTGGATGGATTTTTCATTTTGAATGAGAAAGACTTGAATCTGGACTGCTTGAGCTTTGGACTATTATAAATATGCATGGGCATGCTGGGGTAGATTAAGGGGTCTGGGAGAATTAGCCTTTGTCTCATTGATCATAGGTTTAAAAAACAAAACATGGGAGTTCTAAGGAAAAATGAAGAGAAACTATATGACTGCTCAAGTCAAACTCACCTTTGATGCAGCAAGTAGCGGCAGCAACAGCAGCGACCTCCAAGCTCTGTACTTTTCTCCAACTATCAGAGCCACCAATGCTCCTATGATGACCTAGTTACAAGCAAAACTGCACTACCCAACGTAGCACCCAGAATGACCAAAGATTACCAACAGTGAAACCTACAAATCAAAAATAATAGAGATCAAAGGAAGACTGCCCTCAAACTCAAAGCAACACCCCGCTGCCAGCCGAACAGCGTAACCCTAAGCTTTGTATAACTACAACTTCTTCTTAACTACAACAATTCCTGTAGTATTATGAGGCGCAATCTCAGAGGAAACAGCACCAAGGCCAGCAAGAAAACACCGAAAAATCAACTATTCAACAAGTGTAGCCAGGAGGATGCTGGCCCAGCTACCACCCCTCACCACCGCTCAAGGCAACACCACAACAATAACAACAAACATGGCTGCCCCCAGCCCATCCACCCCTCTCTTCCCCAGATTCAACCTACCAAGTAGTCTCTCAGGTATGACCAACGATCCAGATACCCTAAAGTCATGCATCTCCACCTTAGTTATTGAAAATATGAGTCTTCGAGAGACACTAACAAAACAAGACACCAGGATGACACAACTCGAGAACAAAATCCTCAGTCTTGAACAAAAGTTATCAACACCAGGAATGACTGACTATGGCAAGACCATCCATAGATAGCCATGCAGAACAAATAATATCTTTTAATACAAAGGTTGAAAAAGCAGTAAAAGAATGGAAGAACAACTTAGATAACCAGTTCAGTGACTACTTTGCTCTCCAAGAAGATAAAACTGAACAAGATAAACTATCGGATGCAGTAATAGTTAACAGTCCACTTTTTGCCAGTGATATGAACCAAACAAACAGTAAAGAAATTACTCTGCAGATCATAAAGGACCAAACAAGTGTTATTGTACCAGAGTCTGAAATAAAAGAAGCCAGGTTACTAGGATCCCATGGTAGAAAAAGTGTTATGCTTAGATTCCACTCACATGACAGGAAAAAAGACTTAATTATTGCATCTATTAAAGTAAAGAAAGAGGTATACATAAATGAGTGTCTTACCAAAAAATGTCAGAACCTCCTGTATAGAGTCAGAAAACTTAAGCGGGAGAATAATGACACGATACACCAATGCTTCACACGGGATGGGAAAATTCTAGTTAGGAAAACGAATGTAGGTCAACTGTACACAATCACGAACGAGAATGATCTATCACGATTTCTCAGGGATATTAATCTTACAGAGAATAATTAAACAATGTCCAACCTAAAAGCCTACGTAGTGTAGCGTATGTTTTGCTCCATTATTGTTCAAATTTCATAGTACAATCTCTTAGTAATTAAATAATCAACTACCTCATTTTGTGATTTTACTAGTAAACATAAGTCACCTTATGTAATTTTCTTATTTACTATTGTTTGCTTAAATATTAGCTGAATTGATACTTTCTCTGTCCATATTACTACCTCATATTTTTTTAAATACTATTAATTGATATTACTTACTAAAATTAATAATTAATTAGCATTTTTACTATCAGTACAATTTACTCTTAACATTTTTGACATCATTTAATTACCATTACTTGTCTAATTACCATAACCTGTTTTAACCCTTTGAGGGTCCGTCCCATAGATCTACGGCTTTATGTTCAGGGTCCAAACCATAGATCTACGTCATGAGCTCAGCTCACTCTGATAAACTGTGAGTGGTACATTTGGGCCTAGATATGAGAGAATACATCTATGTGGTATGTGTGCACCACATAAAACAGATCCTGCAGCACGCTGTGTATATTGAGAGAAAAAAACTGAAATCATGATTTTTCGATTAAAACAGCGACTTTGCAGTGTTTTTTCGTATGTTTTTTATAGTTCTATTTGCTATTTCTTGGTCTCATTTGATAGAATGGAAGACATATTACAGAAATAGAGATGATTTTCATTGGTTTTAGCACTGGAAATGGCTTGAAACTGAGCTCAAAGTAGCAGAAATGTTAAATTTTTGCCGATATTCAAGAGTAAACAAATGACCTCACACGTCTAATACATGCCAGCTGGTGGGTCTAATATGCATTCACAAATATGGTGATATTTATATAATTATTACAGTATTGCATAACAGTAAATCTTCTATTTTTTGGTGTGAATAAAAATTCATTATGTGAATAAAAAATCAAAATGGAATTTATTTGTAAAGCCTCAAAACGTAACTAATGAACAGAGGAAATGTTAGTTTAGTTCCAGGAATACCCACATTGTTTATTCTGGACCCTATTTTGAAATTGGAATATTTTGAACTTTGTGTTAAATTGGCCAAATTAACAATTTCAGATCACTTTAATTTGTAGTTGAAACAGTTGACT